TGGCAGAGATGAGTGAGTGCCTCCTGTGCTGCGTCACTTTCCTGAAAAGTTTCCATTTTTATTCCATCAATTCCTGGTGCCTTGTTCTTTGCCAATTCCTTCAATGCACCTTGACTTCACTGGCTTTAATGGTTGGTGCATAAATTTGAGTAATAGTGGTATTAACTGGTTTTTCTTGTAGGCAGATGGAAATTATCCTATCACAGACAGTGTTGTACCTCATTACTGATCTTGATTTTTTTTTATGATGGATGTGATGCTGTTCTTCATTTTGCCTTTTCCAGCTTAGTAAATCATGTGATTGGTGATTGACAGATTCAGAAAGGCCAATGCCAGTGATTTCTGCTCACTAATGCCTAGGATATCGATGTTTATGCATTCCATTTCATTTTTGATAATTTCCAATTTTCCTAGATACATATTTTGCACATTCCACATTCTGATTATTAATGCATGTTTACAGCTGTTTCTCTTCATTTTGAGTTGTGCTCCATCAGTAAATGAAGGTCCTGAAGACTTTTACTCCATTCCCTCATCATAGTCAACTATACTTTGAGGAGATGGCTCTTCCCTAGCGGTATTTAGAATGCCATCAAACCTGAGGGGCTCATCTTATGGCACTGTATCTGACAATATTCTGGTGCTGACAGTGTTCCACTGGTATTCTTAAGGTTTTCAGTGACTAAATATCCAGAAGTAGTCTGTCTCTCTTTCCTAGTTTGTCTTCATCTGGAAGCTCAGCTGAAACCTGACTACTGTGGGTGACGCTGCTGATATTTAAAATATCCATGGCATAGCTTTCAGACTCACAGCAAAACACAAGCCACCACAGTACAACAAACTGTCAGATAAAGGGTAGAATTCTTCCATGGTCTTCTTTATTCATTGTCCAACTTTCAAATGCATATGAGGTTATTGAAAATACCATGGCTTGTGTTTGGTGCACATCAGTCCTCAAACTGACATCTTTGCTCTTCAACACTTTAAAGAGGTCTTGTGCAGAAAATTTGTCCAATGCAGTATGTCATTTGATTTCTTGACTGCTGCTTCCATGAGTACTGATCATTGATCCAAGCAAAATGAAGTCTTCGACAACTTCAATGTTTTCTCCATTTATTTTGATGTTATTTGTGGATCCTGTGGTGAAGATTTTGTTTTCTTTACATTGAGGTGCAACCCATACCAAAGACTGATATTTGATCTTCATCAGTCAGTATTTTAAGTCCTCTTCGCTTTCAACAAGATTATATCATCTGCGTATTGTTGGTTGTTAATGCATCTTTCTCCAATCCTGATGACATGTTCTTCTTCATGTAATCCAGCTTCTCAAATTATTTGCTCCATATACAGATAGAAAAAGTATGGTGAATCTTTCTGGAATCCTTTTGGTTGTCAGTACCACAGAATTTCTACCAGATCAGAACTCTCGTTTTTGTTTTTCCAGTGGAAATTCCCCTTGGTTCTCCCATTCAATGATATGAACCACAGCATAGTTTGTCTTAAAATACTTTCTGAGAGATAAATTCTGCATCACCATGAGCATTTTGTTCCTGAAAATCAGAATTTTTTTAGGTTAGGAAAGGAGTAAATCAAGGCTGGTGTGTTTTGTGTATAATTCAAATTCAAATTTTATTATTTCTTTTATAATTAGTTTCATTAAACAGATATTAGTGCAGCCCCAAGAGGCATCTATAACTACATTTCCCTTCACTATGTTAATCTATTATTGAATTTTAGTTAATATAAGTTCCTTCCTGTTTATTTATGAGTATACTTCATATTGTGTCTTTAAAAAAGTTATTATTTACTTTGCAGTACCAAAGAGGTTGCTGCTCTCCTGTAGTATATGGTGCTTAAGATAAAGAGGAATGTGCCTGAGACTAGGATTGCCAGATATAGCAAAAAAAAAAAAAAAAAGTACGTTATCTGGTTAAGTTACAATTGAAGATAAAAATATGAATTGCTTTTTTCATGTATGTCCCACATATTACATACTTACATCATGTGTAATATATTATACTAAAAATGAAGCTATTCTATCATTTGTTGCTTATCTGAAATATACATTGAACTAGGTGTCTTATGTTTTATCTGGCAACTCTCACTGGTAACAGTATTCAGATCCTAGAGACCAGAACTGAAGCATGTCAGAGAGAGCAGCACATTTTCTGTTTAGCTTTCAGAGTCAGTGGAAAGGTAGACTAGTAGTCTTTATCTACTAGAAATGGGATAGAAAGGGCTACCATCTCCAATATGAGTATACCACTAAGGCTGACCTACGCTGTACCTCAGATCAGGGTAGATCATTAGATATCTGTTTCCTTAATTTTTGTTTAAAACAACAACAACAAAAATCAATTATTCATGGCATCTTTTGGAGGCATGCATTTTAATTAACTTCTATTCTTTTGTGCTTTATCCCTTAGGCGATTTCATAAAAAAATCTTAACTCCATTAATCTAATCAGTATTTTTGTGAGTCTATTTTAATATTGACATTTAAAATTCTTTGAGAATTGTACTAAGCTTTAATGAGGTTAGATAATGCAAGGTTAATCAAAATAATTACAATTGAAGACCATAAAAATAAAGACTTTTCCAAAGTGTTAAACTGAAACATGATTCCTTCAGAGTACAATGTCCATAAGCCATGTCTGAATGTCCACTCAGAGTTTAAGATATTAATTTTGGGTAGATTTCAAATGAGCCATATGTAATAAAACAAAAAACAGAAAAGCCCAAACTCTAAATGCCAAATTTAATCTTAATAGGCTCTAAAATTACCTTAGCTATAAACCTGGAATATTAAAGGCAACAAGTCCAAACAGTTGTATAAACTCTTCGATAGAGGAAGTCTAGTTTATTGCCATGCATCCCAGCTGCCCTATCATTTATTGGCCTTAAGTTTTTAGACATGGAAATGCAAGCCCTATCTCTATGCAATTATAATTGAAAAACAAACAAACTAACATGGTTTGTGCTTAAGGTGGGGAGAAAAGCGTTTATCGTGGTTTGTGTTACCACTACCCTCAAAACTCTGTAACAAGTGGTAGACTAAAGATGGTGGCAAATCCTTTTCTATCCCTCATATTGAGAAGTAGAGTTTGATTTCCTTTCCCTTGAACCAGATTTAGCATTAGTGACATGCTTGACCTATAGAATACAGCCTAAGTGTTGTACTAGGCCTTTTAAGACAATTTCATAAGAAACTGTTATTTCTACCCAGGCCTCTTGAAAACATGCTTTCTAAGAGTTCTGAGATCATGATGCTAGAAAGATTATGTGTGGGTGCCCTAGTGGAAGTCCCAGTAGAACCCAGCCTTCTAGTCATCTCATTCAGGATGGCATGAGAGTAAAATCACCTTAGGTCCTCTAGAACAAACCATCCACAGAGTGAATACCATTCTAGGACTTCTGTTGATACCACATGGAACAGAAGAACTGCTCAACCAAGCACGACCGGAATTGTTTATCCATGAAACTCTTACATAATAAAATGGTTGTCTTGTTCTGCAATAGATAACTAGAATGGTGAGCTGATGAAGTTCAGACTTAAGATAGAGTAGAATGAAGTGAAAGAGTAAAAGAGATGGGCTAATTAAAGAAGGCAAAAGAGGGGGGTATAGAAGATTCTCTAAAAAGAGGTCCGAAATGTCACTGTCACCATTAAAAGATGACCTAGGGACTTAGAACAAGTAAAAAAATCAGAGTTATAAATTATTAGCAAGCAGCCTCTGTGATTTTAGGCAAAACTCACAACTTTGACTCAAGTTTTTAAAGATTCAAAGGGAAAACAGCAGTCAAGTCTCGTCTCATGCAGATGCTCTGAACAGTAATGAATAAACATGACAAATGAATATGCTGCAAATAAGAGCTGAAAATGTTAATATGTAAGAAGCAATCTTTGCACCTAATCTTTCATCTGTTAATTCTGAATTGGAGGTGTCTCAGGAGAAAAATAACTTTGGAAATACAAACAAGATTTTTCTGTTTTGCACTTTTATTGAAAAGATACATTTAAAAAAATACACAGACATTTTACCATTTACAGATTGCAGATATAGATGCTCTAAAGAGTTCACTCTATTCTGTTGTTTTAGGATACCTCTTGCCCCTGATATCCAGTCAGTCTTGTTGATATCAGTTTAGAAAGGGGGGCATGGGGACAGGACCTGCAACATATTTAGTGAACAGAAAGACAAGTTGTTCAATTATAAATTTTTTTTTAATCTTCTGTACATTATTGCATTAGGGAGCCACACAATTATGTAGCATCATTACAAATGAGAACAAGTTAAAAATGAATCAGATAATAGTGTAGAAATACATGGATTCATTGCCTTCTTGCAGACTACATAAGAGGTGCAAAAATGTGCAATTTAGGAAGCTCTGTTTCTGTTTGTATACATTTGCTTAGCAACTCAAACCAGTGAGGAAGCTACAAAATAAGTTAAACAAAAATAGGAGACAGGTAGTAACTACAGCTATGTTATATGGCTTTCTATTTCTTTTAAATATCTCCAAATAAAATGTGAGACAAAGAAAATATATATTACTTCATCTTTTGATCTCTTGAAGAGAAAACTCAAAGCTTTTTTGCTTCCTAACATTTACACGGCAACTGAAAATGTTTAATTCAGACAAGAGATACATATCTAGTACTACACCGGATACAACAGTACTTGGGTCTAAAACAGTACACAATCCCTGTCAACAATAGTACACACAAAGAAGAAAATG